GGAGCTTCTACTGCTTCAGCCAACTGGCTTGTAGCTTCAACACTTGGCTCCAAGTCAATCGCATCCTCCATCTCTTGTAGGGACCTGAAGTAGTCAGCATCCATAGCATCATTTGTTGCTGGACCCTCTGTAAATGGGTCATACTCTGGTGAGGTCACAATCTCATTCTTGACATACTTCCTTTGCAAGGGCGTTCTGCTTCTTGTTCTTGGCCTGCATTTTGCCTTGCTCCCCAGACTATAAGCCTCAATTACTTGAGTTCTCCACAGTTTTTGGTGCTGGTCCAAAAACAAAATACAAAAATTAAACATGTATTGAATCAATCCAAAGGTCTTTGCTGGAACTGCTGCGCTCTCTCTTTACTTCCATTGCTTCTATACCACTGGTAGGGCAATGAAAGGAAACTGTTTGTTTCATATTGAAAATTCATATGTGAGGCATGAACATTTAAGTTTAGATTTCTAAACTTAAAAATGATACCTCTGATTTTTAAGTTTAGATTTCTAAACTTAAAAATGAGATCTGTGATTTTAAGTTTAGATTTCTAAACTTAAAAATGAGATCTGTGATTTTAAGTTTAGATTTCTAAACTTAAAATTGGAATCTGTGATTTTAAGTTTAGATTTCTAAACTTAAAATTGGAATCTGTGATTTTAAGTTTAGATTTCTAAACTTAAAATTGAGATCTGCGATTTTAAGTTTAGATTTCTAAACTTAACATTGAGATCTGCGATTTTAAGTTTAGATTTCTAAACTTAAAAAAACTGTTGTTTTTTATTTTGGCTACCTACCCAAGGTAACTGCAATGTAATAATCATTGCAAATGGTCTTGGGTCAACATCATTACAGTTCATATATATGTATATATCAATAGAAGTATTGCTATATCTATTTGTTTTATATATATTTGTTTTTATTGCTTTGAGGTGTCTTTGCATCACTTGAGCCAACAGGCTACAACTGCAGAACCCTTGGTGTGAACAGTGAAAACATCATGGGAAAACACAACAAATGCTGTCAGCCAACAGGCTTACAACCAGAATCATGCAGCCAATAGGCTTTAACCCAAGAGGCTTCATCCAACATTTCCTCCAAAAAGAATTTTGCAGCCAACTGGCTTTGTCAATGAACAGCCAACAGGCTTGAATGCACCCAGCCAAAAGGCTTCAGCCAACAGGCTTCTGGATTACCAGCCAATAGGCTTCAACGCACCAAACACAGCCAAAAGGCTTCAGCCAACAGGCTTTTGGATTACCAGCCAACAGGCTTCAATGCACCAAATACAGCCAAAAGGCTTCAGCCAACAGGCCTTCAACACAACAAGATTGCACTTGGTTTTATTCAACAGCATAGCCAGGCATCTAGCTCTCCAGGGCTATGGACAGAACATACTTAGGGTCAGCTCATTCCTCACATAGCAACGCTCATTCAACCAATACTTGGGAATCCATCTCTGCCAACCTGCAAGCATAAGAAGTGGTCTCACTCAAATCTAGTTTTTTGAGTTCTGCACATATCATATCTGTGCAAATAAGGCACCACCATCGTAGATTGCAACTCTCCACCAGCGGTTGTTATGCCACTGCCAGCTGCTTGTGATCACCAAGGCATTCATCTCATCCAAGGGAAGCCTCAGATGGCAATGAAAAACAAAACAACCCTCACTATCTCATCCAATGGAAACCTCAAAAGCAAAAACAAAACACTAATAAAAATGCTCTTGATATAAAGGCTTCAATATACCTAATTGTTTTCCAGGGAACCAGGTTTGCCACCCAGAGTCCATGATAAGCCAGGTCCCCTCTGAGGTGTTCATCACCCTTGTAATCCTGTCAGGCATAGTCTTGACTTGAGCCCACCGGCTGGCCTGCAATCAACCAGTGCCAGTCAACAAACAAACTGTTTGTACTACAGCAGCACCTCAAACCTCCCAAATACATGAAAACAGTAAAACTATGTTCTTGTGGGACAAAAAACATGAAGAGAGTATCAAAACTATGTTCTTGTGGGCTATAGGTAGTGGTGGGGGGATACCAATGCCATTGCTCCAGCCCACAGGCTCACAGCCAACAGGCTTTGGATTGAAAACAATGGGCTATGTGCCAGAACATGCTATCAGCCAACAGGCTTGCAGCCAACAGGCTTTCAGCCAACAGGCTTGCAGCCAACAGGCTTGCAGCCAACAGGCTTGTGAGCCAACAGGCTTGCAGCCAACAGGCTTGCAGCCAACAGGCTTGCAG